AATACCTGTAACCCATGTCATACTAGCATGACTGGAAGGTTTAGGCACTCATACAATGTTGTATGAGGGAACACAAATGAATTTGTTAAATCTCTTGTAATCAACGTAACCAAGCAGGGTTGTATGAACAAACTCAATAAGAACATATTTGGTATCATTATAAGCAGGACTGGTAGGATAAAATAGTGATATAAAAGAAAAAAGTATATTAACGAATGAAGCAATATAATTAATCAAATAGGAAGCAAAGATCAGACTGTACCTACATACTATAGTGCTGAAGTTGATGATATAGAGAACTTTCTCTTCGATTTCGAAGGTTATGAAAAAGCCAAAAAGTATGACAAGGATACCCTATGCTTGGTAGTGCATATGCATATGCCTGAAAGCATAAGAACATGGTTAGAGGTCTGATACAAACTAAGAAAACCTAGCAAGACTTGAAAATGACCATCATGGAAAAGGTAAAGGCTGAAAATGAGACAGAAATAAAGATTAATCGATTGAAATGCCTTAAGCAAGATGAAAAGAAATCAATAAGTGAATACACTAACCAGTATGAAGCTTATGTACAAGTTATGAGGAATCAACTTAGAAGCAATAAGAAACGTGACTGGTATATTCGTAGTCTAAAAGACCCATATAAATCAAAGTTTGAAAGTCGCTATCCCAAAAATTATGAAAAAGTAAAAAAAAAGGCATTAAAGATGGAAGAATATGATAAAGATAGGGCTCTCAATGAACATAACAAATCAAACATTGCTAGAAAAACTCCACACCCAAGTAAGTCGGATATGGATCTTTATAGTATTGTGAATGGACTTGCAGCATTGAGTATTAACCGTGTGGAATGAAAAGAAAAGTTGAGTTAATCTGATATTGAAAATATGATTCAAAGTGCGATGACAAAGACCATGAAAGATTTGAGTAAGAAACAAACTCTACAGAAAACTGTTAAGTCCCGTAAATGTTTTCTATGTGGCCAGAAAGGCCATATTATGAAGAATTGTTCAAATTGAAATAAAAGTAATGGTCAAACTAAGATGAGCATGATGTTTGACAATGCTGATGTATGTTTGGTAGAATTTACAGAGAAAGATTCTATGATCAGTAGTAAATATTTGAGAGTAGAATTACTGGATGAAAATGAATGTGGTGACATTAGGGTGTTTAGTAAAAGAAAAAGAAATGATAATGCAATTGAATTTGTGAAACCAACTGTAAAAAGATGAAAAATCCAAGATTCATGATCGACGAATGAAAAACCAAGTTTATGAGAAAACATGATGTACATACCTTTCACTGAACTCACTGATAAGCTTAATCTGTTAAAAAAATTATCGAATATGGATGAGACCCTTACTTTAGGACAGCTGTTTAAGTGGTCACCCAAGGCACGTTCAGAAATAACGAAGGCCCTAACTTGACAAAAAAGAGAAAATATCGAGGATCAATATGTAAAAATAAGGATCATACATAGTATATTAAAGGATGATAAGTTGAAGCCGAATGAAGTCATACCTATGTGGACAGTCAAAATTAATGGCAACTTAGTAAAGGCCTCAATTGATTCTGGATCCCTTATAAACCTCATGCATAAGAAGTATACTGCAAAAAAGAGAGTTGGAATGGAGGCAAGCATATAGTAAAGGTCGGATGGCTGATAACAGAGTCAGTCAGTTTGTGGGCTATATACCCAATGTAGAAGTCAAGATGGAAGGTGTCATAGTTTATCAAGGCTTTTATGTAATAGAGAAAGCCAGCTATGATGTTTTGTTAGGAATGCCATGGAATGCTAGGGCACAATGCATCTTGGGTTTCAAGGGTACTAAATACTGATGCACAATCTCTTCCCCTGTCAGATCTGCCTCTTTTGTGGTATCAACAGTTCTGAAAAGTTGGGTAGGAGAAGTACAAACTAGTGAATATGACAATGTTAATAGTGATGTTGAAAGTGATAATGAAGACAATGTGGATGATGTAATGGCAGTAAGAAGAATTGAAGTGGAAGATCTAGTTGTAAATGATAACAAAGGTTGGACATCAAATATTTTGAATAAGGCAAAGAATAAGGAAAATATAAAGTTGTATGAGATTAAGCCTATAGAGTATGAGAATTTGGATGGGTTAGCATTTAGTGGTTGGGTAAATTATTGGAATTGTGATGATAAAAGAGATGATGGTTCGATCGAAGGAAAGGATGCTCTAGTTGTATCGAAATTGACAATGGAAAATAGTGCTCTGATTAACCTAGTGCCTAGGGTTCGAAATGAACCGATCAGAAGTATTGTAAGTAATTGGTTGATAACAAAAGTAGGTAATGTATTTACATATGAATTAAAAGACATTGGTAAAATGAATTTAGTAAAATATGAGATCAGAACCAGTGATGCCATTGTACCTTCAATGCGACTATGACCAATTAGGATAAATAATCCTGAAACAAAAAAGATGTTTGAAGACTACCTAAGAGAGATGGTTAAGTATGGCCTTTTAGAAAAAGGATCAGGGGAATATGCTTATCACTGTTTTCCTGTACAGAAAAAAGAGGATGGAACTGATAAAATAAGAGCCATCAGTAATATGAAATTTCTTAACAAGTATATAATCAAAAATAGCTACCCGTTACTAGTAATCCAGGACATCCTGAAACAAGTGGCTGGTCACGATTGGTATTCATCGGTCGATGCTTTCAAAGGGTATTGGCAAATAGGAATTAGAGAAAAGGATTGTGGCAAAGTTGCTGTGGCCACCTCTCTAGGAGTATTTCACTATACAGAAATGTGTATAGGCCTAAAGAATGTGAGTGAAACCTTTCAAAGGTTAATAGATTATTTATTGGATGAGGAAAAATGGAAAAATGTTGCTGCTATATATCAAGATGATGTTGGTGTATGGATGAACGGAAGCATGGAGGAACATTTGGAGACATTTGTTAAGCTAGCTGAGGTTTTTAAAATTGCGGGTCTGACATTTGCTGCGAAAAAGTGTTATATTTTGTATAATGAACTTGAAATGTATAGATATGTTGTAAGTAAGGAGAGTATAAAGGTAAATCTGAAAAGAGTTAAAAAGATTCACGAATGGAAGGTGCTCTGTAATGTAAATGAAGTAAGGTTATTTTATAGTGTGATGAACTATTATCGAGATTTGTCAAAAATTTCAGCCAAATTGCAAAACTGCTGACTGATTTGACCAAGCATGATACTAAGTTCCATTGAGGATCAAAAGAGAATGAAGCATTTGAGTTGCTAAAGCGAAAGTTAAGTAACGAAGTTATTCTAAAAGCACTGAACAGGCAGGTGGCAAAGGATGGACTAAGACCTTATCATATGTATACCGATGCTTGCAATTTTTCAGTAAATGTTGTACTCGAACAAGAGAATGAAGATGGTCATTTAAGGCCTGTATCATTTGATTCAAGGAAGTTAAACAAGCATGAACTGCACTATACTGTAACCGAAATGGAATGCTTGGCGATTGTGTTAGGTTGTTATATGAATGAACATATATCAGTGGAACTGTATTTAATGTATGGGTGGACTATCAGGCTCTAAAATGGTTGTTCAACAAGGTGGAATTAAAGAAAAGACTGATGAGATGTGTTTTATTGTTGCAATCGTTCAAATTTTGAGTTTGGTATAAGTCAGGTCAGAAGCACTGTAATGCTGATAGAATGTCACGTTATCCTGACCTACCAGTGCAAGATATTGATACTGACGATAGTTTTGTTGAAGGAGTTTTGTGTAGAGTGGGCTTAGAGAATAAAAAAATTAATGACTTGCTTTTGATAAAGCATTATTTGCAACATTTGAGTTGGAAATCTCACATAGAGTCACTTGATCTGTTCACTTAAAAAGAAAATTGAAACGTTATTGCCTAATTGGTGAGAATCTGTACATACGGTCGAAGAAGAGTGCCCCACTGAAGCGTGTAATATTGGATGAGTGGGAAAGGCATAAAGTTGTGAGTGCATGTCATGAAAGATTGGCAAGTGAGGGTGAACATTGAGAAATTAATAGAACCCTGATGATAGTAAAAATGAAATATGCCTAGGGAACAGGCAATATGTATGATGATGTTAAAAGGATAGTAACAAGTTGTAAACAATGTCAAAAGTGTGCTCTGAAACTTCCACCAAAACAGATACATGTAACTACAACAAGTTGGATCTTTGAGAAGGTTTATATAGATTGTGTTGGGCCTCTATCCCGAACTGTAGGGAAGCATGAGCATGTGGTATTGGCAATAGAAGACCTAACTGATTATATAGAAGGAAAAGCACTAATAAGAAAGAATGCCAAAAATATAGCTCAATTTATTTAAGAAAAGATAATTTTGCAGCATAGCTGTTTCACTGCTCTAGTGTCAGATAAAGGAACAGAGTTTAAAAATGCAATTGTGGAGGAGCTGTCATCGCGATTGAATGTGGATCAACATTTTGTTACTAGTTACCATCCAGAAGCTAATGGTCGTGCTGAACATGTGTTCCAAAAGTTTAAATGAATTATTCGAAAGCTGTATGTGGAATGGCAAAACTGGTGGCATGAATATGTATAAAGTGCAATTTGGGCCATAAATACAACTGTTAGAGATTTGGGTTACTTTCTATTTCATTTAGTTTATGGAAGGGACACAATAATGTCGATTAAGCTGGTAATGGAAAGCTATCACACATATGTGTCGAGAAGCTAATGAACAACCGATCAATTGCTTAAGTATCGAACTTTGCAAATAAAAGGTTTGGTGAGTGACCTAGATAAAGTGCATGCAAATTGTGATGAATTGAAATGGTGTTGAAAAGAGTTTCATAATCGTTGAGCTCGGGAAAGAGAACCGATAGATATTGATAATCTGGTATTGATCTATGATTCGACCCTGGAAACATATTCAAGGAAACTGGACTACTGATAGGTAGGACCCTATAGAGTAACCAAAATCAAAACACATGAGCAGTTCTATGTTGAAGAGGTCGATAGTTCGAAGCTAAAAGACCCAATAACAAGAAATCGAGTTAAAAGAATGAGATTCAATCTGGATAAATCTGAAAGTTTAAGTAAGTTGGATAAAAGTCAAAAGAATTCAGTAGATAAAGGACAATTGAATAATGAAGAATAGGACAGAGGAGAATATGTCTTCTCAGAGGATGACCTATCAAATTTTTTAGAAGATTAGCAAAAAAAAAAAATTAATAATAATAATAATAATAATATATATATAATACACATATAAAAATAGTAATAGAAATAGTCTAATAATAATGTATATAATAGGTGGGTATGGAAGTTGCGAGTTGAATTACAAGAGTTAAACTTCGGGACAAAGTCCTGGGAGTCTAGCTCATGTCATGTTCTAATTAGTTGCATGTCTGGGGTGTGAGGTGCAGTAGTCAAATTTATATAGATGGAGTCTACATTATAATAAGTATATAGACACATAACTAATCTTTAATTAAAAAGTTAATGATAACTAATTAGTATAGATCGATAATGTAATACCACCTGACAAATTGAATAAATAAGGGGGTCGATCTAGTAAAGAAAGACCTCACCTTTGTTGATGCTTAAATAAAAACCTACTTGAGGCAGAGACCTTATCACTGTAACACCTTGAGGTAGAAGGTAGGAGGCGTGGTAGAGTGTAGGTCATGGAGTAGTAACAAGTGCTAACATAAAAGTGCCATGAGTGAGCATCTACGTAACCAGAACATCTGGGCATGAATTTAGTATCGGAATGATATTAATTAATCTCTGTGACAAATACTATTATCAACTTATTTACCAACTGACAAAATTAAGTTATCACAAATCTTGGCCTTACACCTTCATATCCTGTACTTAATGATATTTATCAGAGTGAAACTATTATTCTGCTTTTGTGAAGAATTTATTATGACCCACTTATTTTATACATTTACAATAACTTTAAATATTATTCTACAAAAGTTTCTTGGCCAACTAATCTTAAAGATTTAATATATAACAAACTCGAATCACATTGTTCAGTTCTTGCTTACATGGATGACACTCTTTGGATTGCATCTTCATAGCAAAAGCTTTCACAAATTCTTAACATAGCAGAATCCTTCTACAACATGTCAAATATTCAAATTAATCCTACTAAATCTATACTTACAACTAATGAATCTTTAACCAACTATAATTCTATTATATATAACAATCATTTACTTAAACTTCATCCTCCAAGCAAACTATTTAAGTTTCTAGGATGC